TTTTTGGGGGGGGTTTTTTTTTTTTTTTTTTTTTTTTTTTTTGCTATAGGGCATGTGCGCTCACCAGAAAGACAGAGAGAGAAAGAGACAGACAGAAAGTAAGAAATCACCCCCTGGGGGGATGGCCACACCACAACCTCTTCTCCTCCATTCTCCTCTCGGTATCTGGGGCAGGCACCCACACGAGCCTGGTGTGAGTTTAAGCCACCAGGTCCAGGACTCGAACTGCAGTCAACTACATGGGAGTCCAGTGACATAGCCATTACACCAACTGCTGGTCTCTAGGACTCTGTATTTTAAACAAACTCTAGGAACCTACTAATCTGAGGAGTCCAGCGGTCCTCCCTGTCCTCACCAGGACAGTTATTTGGTTGCTGCAAAGAGAAAGGAGCTTCGGTGACACCCCTTTGGCTCTATCCCTCCCCCGACGGCCTCTTGGACATTCTGTCACCCAGCTGCTGATACCCAGGGCTGCAGTGTGGAACCACCCACCTCTCCCCAAAGTCCACCACGTATTATAGAGAGCAGGGCTCACCTTAGCGGGTCGCCAAGGCATGATGGGCGGCACTAGGCTGGCCGAGTAGAAGGACTCTGGAGCCCAGGCTGCAGTCAGGGCACTGCCCTCCCACAGCGGGTTCTGCTTTCCTTCCGGCCGTGGCAGTCGCCAGCCTGCCTGTCCCACCTCTTCCTTGACAATCCCGCTGGCCGGGAGCGGGGGCGTGTGGGGCATTTCGGCCCCCTCGGAAAGCAGCAGGGCCACACGATCCTCTATCTGTCTCCCTGTGGTCTCGGGGTCCTGGACTAACAGCTGCGGGGGAGAGACCGGGAGTTTCTTCCTGTGGCCTTTCTTCTCTAGAGTTAAACAGAAGAGGCAGGGTCACTAGTGGGGTCTGCCCTGCACCCCAGAATGTGTGATCTTCCCTGGGGCCACTGTACCTGCTCCGGGTCGCATCCTCTTAGAAAACGCACTTTCCAGCCTGAGCGCTGGCACAGCTGGGCACTGCTCCATCTCAGACCGCGACAGGGCAATGGCCACCAGCAGGTCCTCGGACTGCGCCTCGGGAGGGCCAACCTTCCGCCTCTTCTGTGGCTCCTTCATGTTGGTGGCTCCTTTGCGCTTCAAACCTCCGACGTGATCACTGAGGCTGAAAGGCAGCCCAGGGGGAAGTCAGCGAGGGCCAGAGGTGCCGCCATCACCCTCCTTCGCTGGCTCCGCCAGGACAGAGAAGCCTCATGTGCACTCAGGGACTCCCAGGCCAACAGCTCAGCATTATCTGGACCCAGAGGGCCTGAGTCCCTTATTCAAAGTGGCTCGGTCAGGCTCCTGGCACCGGTACAAAGCTGCCGGCGGCTCCAGCACTCCCAGATGCGGCCAGCTTCTCCAGAGGGGTCAACACTAGCTGAGTCCGTGTTGGCTCCAGGCCTACCCATTCGCACCTCGGCTGTCCCTGAGGACACGGTGCACACACCCTTAGTCCCAGCTGCCTGGGAGGCTGAGGCAGGAGGACCACGAAACCAAAGCCATTCAGATGCCCGCAGGGTGGCTCGTGTCATCTGGCACAAAAGCCATGCCTCCCTTGTGGCAGGCCCCAGGGCAGCACCTCTGCCCAAGGTCTGAAGGAGGCCCCCAGCCTTTTAGGAGTCACTGAGTGGCAGTCATGAGGCCTGAAGGTGATTAAGTCCAAGAAGCCTCTGGTTGGGAAGAACAGGGACAGCCACGGTGTACCCCAAGGGGCTGGCGAGAGGAGAGTAAAGGTAAGAAGGAATTTTGAAAGCACCAAGCCACCGCCCTCCCTGCAGCAGTCACTCCCCTGGTTTTTGCAAAGCTCTGTCCTCTGCAGGCCCCAGGAAGCACCTGCAAGTCCAGGTGGGCCCTCGTGTTGCTCCACTGCCCCCTGGAGGAGAGTAGCGGCCCCAGCAGCCCAGGTCCTCGGCTCCTGCCGGCCCAGCAGGCAGGGCTGCTGGGTGAGGGTGAGTGCAGGTGCTTGGGCGGAATGCACTCTGCAGGGATCCTGACCACCCCATGTTCTGAAGACCCAGGCTACTTGGAGGTATGCGAAAAGGAGACGTGTTTATGTGAGCAGGTAATTTCAGTGCAGTCCTGCCAAGAGGCGACATGGCTTAGACCATGTCTGTTCTACCTCCAGGCCCCTAGCCCTGCGACATGAGGGCTGGAGGTGCCCAATGTGGACAGATCTCAGCTAAGAAAACCCACCTATGGGACCAGCAGTTAGCATAATGGCTATGTCGCTGGACTCCCATGTAGTTGACCGCAGTTCAAGTCCTGGACCCAGCGGCTTAAACTCACGCCGGGCGAGTGTGCGTGCGTGCCCAAGATCCCGAGAGGAGAATGGAGGAGAAGGGACTGCGGTGTGGCCATCCTCCCTGGGGGGTGATTTCTCGCTTTCTATTTCTCTGTCTCTGTCTTTTTGGCGAGCGCACGCGCCCTATAGCAAAAACCTCTCCAAAAAAAAAAAAAAGAAAACGCACCCGTCCTCTCCCATGTCAGCCCCAGCCCCACAGCTGCCCAGTGGGCAGGGAAGTAGCCAACATGCGCTGGCCTTCCCTTCATGCCCCAACCCAGAGAGGTCTGGGGTCCATGCTGCCTAAGTGTCCTATGAACCTGGGGTTGACTCTGGTGTCCCAAAAGGGTCAGAGTTCACTCTCTGCCACTGCATGCCTGTGGTGTGCATGCCACGGACTTGTCTCCCGGCTTCCAGAGGGGCATCTTATTTTAACATTTAAGCATTAATTCACGCAAAAAAATTTGTCATAAGGTCCTGTGCTTTTTTTTTTTGCTATAGGGTGCATACACTCACTGGAGAGACAGAGACAGAGAAACAGAAAGAGAAGTCACTTCCTGGGGGGACGGCCACACCACAATCCCTTCTCCTCCATTCTCCTCTCAGGATCTTGGGCATAAACGTACAGGTGGCTGGAGTGAGTTTTAAGCCTTTAAGCTGCTGGGTCTGGGACTCAACCCATGGTTGAGTATGTGGGAGTCCAGCAACGTAACCATTAGCCACCTGCTGGTCCCAAGGTCCTGTGGTTCTGTCTGACCACGTTCTGCACTCTGCTGAACAGCCTCACGTTAGCAGGCTGAGCCCGACGTCAGGTGGAAACCAAGCCACACAGCAAGCTAATGGCTGCAGTGAAGCACTGCCCCGACTGCAGACCTGACAGGCTTCAAGGAAACCAGTCTCTGCGTCCCCGGTAGGCAATGTCCTCGCCTTTGGGGGGGCAGAATCTATCCTCGGTCTCTCCCAGCCTGACGGATTTCCTCCCAAAACTTTCATTTCCAGAACCAGAGGGCCCTTTTATTGTCCAAAACTGTAACAGCTTTCTTTTTCCCAACCAAACTGAGTATAAACTCGGTCACTTGGCGTGTTTGCTTCCTTTCCGTGGACTTACCTGGGCCCGGGTGGGCCACCGCCCTCCTGGGGCTGGGCCGCCTGCATCCGCACGGCCTGCAGCAGCAGCTGGGGGCCGACCTCCATCCTCGCCGCGCACTGCTTCAAGTGGCCGATTCTGCTCTTCAAGGTGAGGAACGGCTTGCCACAAATCGGGCATTCAGGGATCCGAGGCGCGGAAGGTCTCAGGGGTTTCTCAGCCTCATCCAAGCACCTGAAGGAAGAAAACTACCAGAGCACCACCCCCCAGTACATGCAGAACACGTGGATCCCCGTCATCACGGACGTGCTGCAGCCAAAGCATGCCCCCCAAAGCCAAGTGCTTCCACCCAGCCACAAGTCTCCTAGCAGACACTAAATTGGTGCCTGTCAGCAAAGGTGGCTGCAGAGTGAGGATGGGCTGAGCATGTGACCACAGGGCCTGGCCATTCCACTCGGAGTGGAGATCCACCCAGAACTGCCAACAGGCACTCAGGCAAGCGTGTGGAACCCATGTTCACGGCGGCTCTGTGTGGGTGAGCAGCAGATTCGGCCACCCAAGAGGCACGGTCCAGCACGACAAGGACTCAGGGCTGGCAGCGCCACAGTGTGGGTGACACCAGACTGCACTAAAGGGGCCAAGTGACACACGAACACGAGGGGTGTGGCACCCGTCCTTTCTGGGCAGGAAGCTGATGAGGGGCTGTTAGGGGAGGGAGTGACCGCTGAGGGGTATGAGGCTTCTTTGGCAAGAGATGAAAATTACCCAGAATTGACAGCGGCGACACTGCCGACCCTGCGGATGCACCAAAAGCCACTGACTCACCATTTACGTGGGTGAACTGTGAGCTATGAGAATCCCATCTCAGTAACATTCTTAGGGTTTTGCTTTTTTTTAAAGGGTAGGTTATGACAAAACCAAGGTGCTGCTGCCCAGGCAGGTGTCCCGAGAGCCTAGCACAGCCTCGCTGCCCTGGGATCTGCTCTCACACGGGAGAGGTGGCGAGCCCAGCAGCCCCTACCTATTCACGTGCTGCTCCCTTCGCACCAGATTCATGGTCGAGAGGTCCTTCTGACAGATCTGGCAGAAGAACAGCCCCCTCTCCTCCAGGCTGTCATCACCAGCTGCGCCTTCCCGTGCAAACTCCTGCTGCAGGGCCAGGGCGGCCGCGGCATCGCTCTCTGTGGCAGGGTGCGCGGACCCACAAGCTGCAGAGAAGCATGAAGCCAGAGGGTTAACTCCAGAGACATGCGCACCCTTGGACCCCTGGCTGAAGAGGGCACTCGCAGAGCACAGACGCTGGGCAGAGCACAAAGAACCAAAGCCCAGCCAGCCCTGCAGCCTGGAGACTGGGCGTTGGACGGCCCGGAATGGCACTTCTCAACCATCCCATCCTGGACGGACCACCCAGGAAGTGTGCTAACTGCAAGCTGAGATTCGGGGTCTGGTGGAGCCCGAGCCTCGAGGTCCAGACCACTCTCTGAGGACCAGGGATCTAGAGAACTTGCCTTTTGTGCCCACCTCCCACACCCAAAGCAGCCAGCCACCTAGGCGCTGCTGGCTCCCATGGCTCCTTCCCGCCAGTCGGGTTCCCTCGCGCTGCGGGCCCCCAGGGCCCCTCCCCGCCAGTCGGGTTCCTCCTTGGGCCCCTTTCCCGCTGCTGCCTTCCACCTCCTGGGACAGGTCAGGCCCAAGTGTGGGTTGATGGTGCTCCTGAGGTGGATTCCACGGGGACCCCCGATACTGTGGAAGTACCCACAAACCCCAAGTTTGTGGATATTACTAGGGCCTACCATACCTGCCACAGCACCAGAAAAGCAGCACACCTCCACTTCAGTGCTCTGGCTGTTGTTTTTTTTTGTTTTTTTTTTTAAGGAAATAAATCGTTTATCTTTTCCTGAGCATCTGCTGGGCAGATGTGAATCTGCAGCAGAAATGAGGGTCCAAACTGCTTAGGGATAAAGAATAGGATCTCCGAGGTGCTGCACCTACTGGGCAGTGCAGAGTAGGCGGTACACAGCACCTGTGAGGCATGGCTGGCAAACTGTTTAAGCTGCTGACAACACAAGGGTTAAAGCAAGGGCTCAGATGGCACCATGAAGAAATAATCGCACGAAGCCAGAAAGTGTGAGATCCTGTAAGACAGGCTGGGCCCTTCAACAGTGAGTGTGGGGGCTGGCTCTGTGCACAGTGGTGATGTGCTGCTCACGAGAAGCCGCCTCCACGTGGGGAGCGAGGTTCGGACCCAGCCTTCGGGCTGTAAAACGCTCCAGGCATGTGTGCGAGTACCTGAGAGCCCACCAGCTGGAGACTGGGGAGGGGGAGCACGGCGTGAGCAGACCCTGTGGAGGTGCACCTCTCTCTCGCTCTCTCACTCCCTCTCGCTCTTGCACATGCATGCGCTCTGTCATGAAAAGAAAAAAAGATGTGGGAGTGTCCCAGAATCCTCTCTGGTCAAATGAAAATAAACGAATAAAAAGTTTTAAAAAAGGTTAAATAATTCTTTTAAAAAAAAAAAAGATATCCTTGGGACAATTGTGGAAATTTATAACGGGCAGCATTATGGAATTAGGTGTGACAATGACATTGTAGTTTTACAGGGGCGGCTAAGTGTCGTGATGTATATAACTTTACTTTCAAATGCTATGGAAAAAATATTCATGTATGAGAGGACTTCAAAAAGACCATGGGCGTGAAAAAGAGACCAGGGGGCCCACTCTACCCTAGTGTTAAGGATCATAAGTGACCAAACATGGGTTCAAATCCCAACCCGAGCTGAGAAAAAACACACCAGGTGGGCCAGCAGATGGTGTGGTTAAGGTGGCTAGATCTCACGTGAGTGACTGCACTGTCCGAGTCCTGGATCTGGCAGCTTGAAAAACACATTGGGTGCCTTTGCGTGCATGCCCAAAATCCCAAGAAGAGAACAGAGGAGAAGAGGTTACAGTGTGGCTGTGCTCACAGGGCGCTGGTTTCTCACTTTCCCTCTCTCTACCTCTCTCGGGTAAACACACATGTCCTGTGGCAAACTTAAGAAGAAAAAGAAAAAAAAATCAGGGTTGGCAGGTGGCATAATGGTTAAGGCTTTGGATTCTCACATGGCTGACCATGGCTCAAGCTCTGGATCCAGCGGCTTAAAAATCACAAGGGACCAGCAGATAGTATAATAGTTGTGTCGCTGGATTCCCCCGTAGTTGATCGTAGTTCAAGTCCCAGACCTAGCAGCTTAAAATTCACACTGGGTGTGTGTGCATGTGTGTCCCAAATCCTGAGAGGAGAAGGGATTGCAGTGTGGCCATCCTGCCTGGGGCGGGGGGGTGATTTCTCACTTTCTGTCTCTCTGTCGCTCCGGCAAGCACACATACTCTATAGCAAAAATCTCTTAAAAAAACACAACAGATAAATACATAAATAAATAAATGTAAACACACACACACCAGGTATGTATACTGTGTGGCCAAAATCTTCAAAAGACACTTCCATGCCCCACTGCAGGGCAAGTTCTCCCTCTCTCTTTCAGTCTCTTTGTTTGTCTCTCTGGTGAAGACATGTACCCTCTAGCAACTAACTAAAAAAAAGTTCCCAGCCGCAGGTGGCCTGGTGGTTAAAGGCACCAGATTCCTATAGGGCCAACTACAGTTTGAGTCCCAGACCTTCTCACCTTCCCTTTCTCTCTGTGTGTCTCTGGTCAAATTTAAAAAATAATAATAACATGGGACCAGCAGTTAGCATATTGGCTATGTCGCTGGACTCTCATGTAGTCAACCATGGTTCGAGTCCCGGACCCAGTGGCTTAAACTCACGCCAGGCGCACGTGCGGGCATGCCCAAGATCTTGAGAGGAGAATGGAGGAGAAGGGATTGCGGTGTGGCCATCCTCCCTGAGGGGTGATTTCTTGCTTTCTGTCTGTCTCTGTTGTTCTGGTGAGCGCATATGCCCTATAGCAATAAAAACCTCTCCAAAAAAATAACAACAACAACAAATGGAAATAAATAACTTTTTAAGAATTATTTTACTTAACTTTATTTATTTATTTAAATTTGACCAGAGAGGAACCAAGAGAGACATACAGAAAGCGAGAAGGCAAGCTGCCGGGTCTGGGACACGAACTCTGGTCAGTCATGTGGGAATCCAGTGCCATCTGCTGGTCCTGCTGGTCCCTCTTTTAAATATTTTTATAAATAAGGGGTCTGAAAAAGGTTTGTGGGAATGTGTGTTATGAAAACTCTGTGCATAGATTTCAGAATTTTTTACACTAAGATAAACTCATACTTTAATTCCTTTTTGTCATGAACTTTTTTTTTTTTTTTTTAAGAATTATTTGGGGGCTGGCAGGTAACATGGTGGTTAAGAGCACTGGACTCCAGGAGCAGCAGTTGGTGTAATGGCTATGTCGCTGGACTCCCATGTAGCTGACCGCGATTCGAGTCCCAGGCCCGATGGTTAGACTCACACCAGGTGCATGTGCGTGTGTGCCCAAGATCCCTAGAGGAGAATGGAGGAGAGGGGATTATGGCATGGCCATCCCCCCTGGGGGGTGATTTCTCGCCTTCTGTCTCTCTGTCTCTATCTTTCTGGCAAGCACACACACTCTATAGCAAAAATCTCTCCAGTAGGTAAATAAATAAATAAGACATGGGAAAATGTTAGCTATTATTAAATCTAGGTTGAGAACATAAGGGATCCACCGTAATTCTTTCTTAACTTTTCTGTGAGCAGAAATTTTATAACAAAAAGTCAAAAATGAGTAAAAGAGCTACCCTGCCAAAGAAGCTAAGTGACAAGTATCCCAGAGCCCCTTTGTTCCCTGAGTGGCTCGAGATGGCCAAGGTGAAACACGGGTGAGCACCCGCCTACAGCAGCAATGCCTGAATGCAGATCCTGCCCGCCTCCCTTCCACCCCAGCCAGGACTCCTGTCTGGAAATAGAAACGCGCTCTTCATACCGGTCCCTGCCACCCTCTCTTCCAGAGGGCCCTCTGGGACACCGTCACCCAGCGCAGCCCCGAGGGTGCACTCCTCCGTGGCATGCTTCAGACGCTCAGGGTCGGCTCTTTTGAACTGCTGCATTCGCTGCAGGACCAGCTCTGCCGTGCGGGGTTTGGAGGGACTTGGCACCGCTGCTGTCGTCAAACAGGAAGGAGGAGAGGACCTGGAGTGGCTGTTGGGAGCACCCTCTGGCAAGAAGGAAAACATTCACTAGTATCTGGAGAAAGGGAAATAAAGGACCTTTCTTCCAGACAGAGGTTAACCTAAGCTTTAAGGGCTCTTACGTGTGCTAGTTTACATCAGCTTTGGAAGTGAACAGGACAGGGACCAATAGATGGTGTAATGGTTATGTGGCTGGACTTTGATGTAGTCGACCACGGTTCGAGTCCCTGACACAGTGGCTTAAACTCACATCAGGCACGTGTGCATGCGTGCCCAAGATCCCAAGAGGAGAATGGAAGAGAAGGGATTGCAGCGTGGCCATCCCCCCTGGGGGGTGACTTCTTGCTTTCTGTCTCTCTGTCTCCCTCTGTCTTTCTGGTAAGCACACACGCCCTATAGCAAAAACCTCTTACCCCCAAAAAAATAATAAAATAAAAGGGGAACCAGCAGTTAGCATAATGGCTATGTCGCTGGACTCCCACGTAGTTGACCGCGGTTCACGTCCTGGACCTGGTGGCTTAAAACTCATGCTGGGCGCGTGTGCGTGCGTACTCAAGATCCCAAGAGTAAAATGGAGGAGAAGGGATTGCAGCTTGACCATCCCCCAGGGCCGGTGATTTCTCACTTTCTGCCTCTGTCTCTGACTGTCTGGCGAGCGCACGCGCCCTATAGCGAAAACCTCTCCAAAAAGAGCTGAGTTGTTGCAACAGAGGCTGTATAGCCTACACCACTAAGTTACTATCCAGCCTTTTTCAAAGCTTTCTGCCCCTGATTAAAATAGTACCAATCACAGCCAGCGAGTTACAACACTGGTCTCCCACCTGGCTGACTGCAGTTTGAGTCCCAAGCCAAGTGGCTTGAAAATCATGGAGAAAAAGAAATTAAATTAAATAAAATTTAAAAAAAAAAAAAGAGAGAGGAAAAAAAAGGGACCAGCAGTTAGTCCATAATGGATTGTCGCTGGACTCCCATGTAGTTGACCACGGTTCGAGTCCCGGACCTGGTGGCTTAAACTCATGCTGGGTGCATGTGCGTGCATGCCCGAGATCCCGAGAGGAGAATGGAGGAGAAGGGATTGTGGCGTGGCCATCCCCCCGGGGGGTGATTTCTCGCTTTCTCTCTGTCTGTCTCTGTCTGGTGAGCGTACGCGCCCTATAGCAAAAACCTCTCAAAAAAAAAAAAAGAAGAAAATCATGGAGAGTACATGTGTACATGTGCCAAAATCCCTGGAGGAGAAGAAATTGCAGTATGGCCAAATCCACTGGGGGTGATTTCTCACTTTTTCTCTCTCTTTTTGGTGAGCACATGTACCCTGCAGCAAAAAAAAAAAAAAAAAAAAAGTCTAAAGAAAAAAAAAGAAGAAATAGTACCAATCAAGGGGCTAGCAAACTGCACGGGGTAGTTAAGCCTCTGAACTCCCACACGGCCAACCATAGTTCAAGTCCCAGATTCAACAACCCAGAAATCATAATAAACAACTGAGTAATTAAATGTAAAACAAAAATTCATTAATCGATTAGAATACTGCCAATCTCCTCTGTCTTCGGAAGATCTGGTAGTGCTTCTTGCCTGCTTACCTGTGCAGGTGTTCTGGGCTCCCTCCCAGGGCACAGGCTGATCTGCAGCAGAGGCAGGCACACCGCCCTTTCCATTCACAGTGAGAGCTGGTTCACTCCCTTGCAACTTGGTTGCCCTTTGGCTTTTAGTCCTAGGCACCCGGCTGCCAGGTGGAGGTTCCTCCTCCGTGGTGCCCTGAAGTGTTTTCTTCTTGGGAGCAGTTTGTTTGGTTCTTTTCAGTTTGCTTCTTATCTGAGTGCTGTCTGAGGCTTTTTGGGTCTTTCTTTCTCTTGACACTTCCTTGGATGCATTTTTTTTCACCCTTTGGAGAAAGCTGGTGCAGAGTTCCTTAAAATCATCGTCTGAATCATCCATCATCTGGCCAGTTTTAAGGCTTTCCGGCTGCTCTTCAGAGGAGGGGGGCTCAGTCTGGGGGCATGTCCACAGAGAAAGAACCTGAAGAAAAGCCTGGCCAGGCTTTGTCCACACTCACAGCCTCATTCAGGTTCCTCTCTACTTCTCACTGACCCTGGGATAGTTTGCACAGCTGAATGAAAAGGACTGTCTTCCTCCTCATGATGATTTGAATACCTTTCTTCAAACTGGGCCTGTGTTAAACATGTTAGACGCTTCCCTCTGTTAAAGCTCACAACTGAGAGATCGTCTGTTGTCCACTAGGTGCCTCTGAGACAGCGTCCATAGGAACTTAATGCTCAGGTGATTTTCCAAGACCTGTAAGACAACAAAACATACTTGGTTCATTTAATTTCATATCTGTAGAAAACCAAAAGCACCTCAGTGTACTTAGATGCATATTGTCATGTTGGGCCATTTCTTCTAGGACGGTACAAGACAGGTAAGGTATGCGAACTCTTCAGAGCAACAATACCCCTGTCCAGTACTCAGTACCACCCGGTCGCCCAGTCTAATCATCCTAGAGGACATCGCAGCATGACAGCGGGATCTAGAAATCTGAAGCATATTCTTTCCACAGGCAGAAAATACGTGCACCTTGGGAAAGTTTTTATTAAAATGTGTGGACCAAACCCCATGAAGAGCAGTCACCAGAGAAATGAGATGATCCCCAGTGCTAGGAAACCTAGCTCCTACAAGGGGCTAAGACTCTCAGCTATTAGAAAGGCTGTCAGCACACACTGCAGTGTGAGAAAGTAAGAGTGCCTGAGCACTCGGGAGGAGAGAAGACCTTTTCTCTGCCCTCTCTGCCCAGCAAGAGCTCCCCAAATTCAGAGGCCTAGAACACTGCCCACATGCAAAAGCTGGACTTCATAAGTATGATTAATTTACTCAGCCTAGTGGGGTTTGAAAATCAAAACTGAATGATCCAAGGCAGGAAGCTCTTAATTTCAAATATAATACTGCAATCACCACTATCCAGGTAATCTGATTCATCATGTAGTTTTCCAGATCTGGGCATATGTTCCTATCTAGACCTACTCTGTATGGCTGGCTGGTTCATTATCTCCCATGTCTCCTCCTTAGAGAGCTTCCCCTAATCCTTAAGTGAATCCCTCTGTTCTGTCAGTCCAGACAATGGCATTTATCGTGGGCTATGATCATATGTAAGAGGTAATGTTTATGGATGGCTTACTGGTGGTAAGCACTGCTGCAAGTTTTCATCTTTAACATATTGAATCCTTACAACAATCCTGTAGGGTAGACTCTATTGTCCTCCTTTCTTTACAGCAAGGAACCAGGCACAAGCAGAATGAGGAACAGTGCTCAAGTTCAGGCACTTCTGAAGTGGCAGAGCTGGGGTCAAATGGCGTGTGGTTCCAGACCACTGGCTCTCCTATTTTTATTCACTGATTTATCATCCGTGAGCTCAACACTTCAGCAGGGCACAGACTCATCCGTCTCACTTTGTATTGTCTTTGGCTGGTCGGATGCCTGCCTTGTAGTAAGTCTCACAACTATTTGTTGACTTCATGAGCTGCTAAGAGTTTGGTACAATCTGGGTGAGGAGAACGAGGTCGGACGGAAGTGTGCAGGGAAAAGCAGAGATCAGTTCACGAGGGCCACGACCTCAGGCTTAGCAAATGGAATTTTAGCGTACTGCACGCGGGGAGCGGCTAGAGCACATTCCGCCCTCCAGCACCGTCCCGTCTGCACATCTCCGTGGGTACGACTCGGAACAGTACAGGCCACTTCCTACAGACGTTCAACGCAGTATTTGCTGAATGACAGAACGGAGCCTGCAAGACCGTCTCTCCAGGGGGTAGGGGACGAGAGCGGCCTCAGCCCGCAGTGACCACAGAGGAATAAATGAGGGATCCCTACCCCCAGCCTAGCGACCTCCGGAAAGGTGGCTGACGAGTCCACTGGGGACAAGGTTGCCAATGGCAGATGCCTCCAAAGCCAGACGGAAAATCCCGAACGCAGGACTGGCCCCAGGCTGCGAACGTGCGGGCAGCCCGATCCTCCCTCCCGTCCTCCCCGCAAGCGGGCCCGGCCCGTCTCCACTCGAGCCCGGCCTCTACGACACGGTGCGGGACTGCCGAGGCCAGGGGCCAGCGAGGGAGCGGGCGACAAAGGCTCCGCTCCCTCAGGAGAGCGAGAACCGCACGGGGTGACAGGACCTCCTCCCGGGCGCGATCCCAGCCCCGACGCCGGACTCCTCCTACCTCCGGCGCCGCCACGGCACCTTCCCAACGGAGAGCCCTGCGCCTGCGCATGCGCTGCCCGGAGAAGCTCGTGTGCGCAGGCGTCAAACGGCCGGGCGAGACGGCTGCGGCTCGGTTCCCGTGGTTCTTTCTGTGGCTCGAGTCCTGGACCCAGCGGCTTGCTTTCTCACTTTCCCTCTCTCTCATTCAGTCCCTCTCTGGTCAAATTTAAATAAATAATGGATAACAAAAATAAAGTCCAATAAAAAGAAAGCCACCAGGTCCAGGACTCGAACCGTAGTCGACCATGTGGGAGTGTTCAGACCCTTAATCAGCCACCTGCTGATCTCCTAAATAAAATAATTCTTTCTTTCGCTTTTTTTTGGAGAGGTTTTTGCTATAGGGCGCGTGAGCTCTCCAGACAGAGACAGAGAGACAGAAAGCGAGAAATCACCCCCCAGGGGGAATGGCCACGCCCCAATCCCTTCTCCATTCTCCTCTCGGGATCTTGGGCACGCACACACACACGCCAGGTGTGAGTTTTAAGCCACCGGGTCTGGGACGCAAACCATGGTCGACTACGTGGGATTCCAGTGACATAGCCATTATGCTAACTGCTGGTCCCTAAAATAATTCTAAAAAAAAAAGAAAGAAATAGTCCAGTTTTTCTCCATGTACATTCAAGTGTATTTAATAATATTCTCATTTTTTTCTTTTTTCTTTTTTTTTTTTTTGAGGGGTTTTTGCTATAGGGCACGTGTGCTTGCCAGACAGAAAGAGAGAGACAGAGACAGAAAGCGAGAAATCACCCCACAAGGGGGATGGCCACGCTGCAATTCCTTCTCCTCCATTCTCCTCTCGGAATCTTGGGCATGCACGCACACGCACCTGGCGTGAGTTTTAAGCCACCGGGTCCAGGATGCGAACCGCGGTTGACTACGTGGGAGTCCAGCGACATAGCCATTACACTAACTGCTGGTCCCCCCCATTTTTTTCTCAATGTAAATAAATGCTAGCACTCTTTTTTTTTTTTTTTGGAGAGGTTTTTGCTATAGGGCACGTGTGCTTGCCAGACAGAAAGAGAGAGACAGAGACAGAAAGCGAGAAATCTTGGGCACGCATGCACATGCACCCCCAGCCTGATTTTCAAGCCACCAGGTCCTGGACTCAAACCGCAGTTGGTCCAGTGGGTAACCACTACTACGTCTGCTGGCCCTGCCACTAACAACTTAGGAAAAGAAGAACTGCAACTGGTGTCTGTGTGTTGACTTGGCACACTACTACTTTGTTCAATTCGTTTGCCTGTTCTAACATTTTTTTGTGTGTGCTATGTTTAGGTTTTAATATATACGATCCTACCTGCGAGGGCCAGCAGGTGGTGTGGTAGTTGGTGTGAGGAGATGGTTCCCGTGGAACAAGGCCTGGTGTGTCTGGAGGTTACCGAAGACCCTAGAACACAGTCAGGTCATTTGGCTAAACACGGCCGTCACAGGCATTCCAGGAACATGTAGCAGACCACGAAGAACTCTTGCCCCGTTTCCTGCATGCTCAGAACACTGCCGAGAAGGAAAACGTCAGCAAACTCACGCAGAGTTCTCTGACAAACCAAAACCAGCCGATGTATGAACCAAGGGACTAGAAAGTTGAGTTGTACACAAGTTAATGAGGGCATATCCAGACTCCCCTGAGATCGTTATCATTTGCCTTTAAATATGACGTTCAATAAAGCTCGTGGTCTTGAGTTTCATTCCCAAGTCCCCCCACTAATACTCACATCGAGTGTCATTGTCAGTGCTTCTGCAGCTCCAAGACGCCCGTTCAGACTCAGCCACAGGAGGGGTGCCGGACTCCCACATGGCCAACCATGCTTAGAGTCCCAGATCCGGTGACTCGAAACTCATGCCAGGCGCATGTGTGTGCATGCCCAGAATCCCAAGAAGAGAATGGAGGAGAAGGGATTGTGCTGTGGCCAACCCCCGGGGGAGGTGATCGCTCACGTTCTCTCTCTCTGCCTGTCTGTGTCTCTGGTGAATGCATGTGCCCTACAGCAAAAATATCTCTAAAAACAAAAGATCGTTCTCTGCGCAGAGATAGTTTTATTTCTTCCTTTCCATTTATGCTAAGTACTTTGGCTAGAGCTTCCATTACCATGTTGAATAGGAGTGTTGAAAGCGGTCCCCACCTGATCTTCCACAGAGGAACTTTTCAGTCTTCCATTGAGTATGACCGTTCAATGTGGATTTTTCATAAGTGGCTCCATTATGTTGAGGTAGTTCCCTTCTACTCTTAGTTTGTTGAGTTTTTATCATGAGAGGAATGGAATTTTGTCAAATATTTTTTCTGTAACAATTGAGATGATCATTTATGTGGTATATTGATTACATTGTGTTGAATCATCATTACATTTCAGGAATGAATGAATGAATAAATAAATATCAATTCTGTCAGAGGGCACATGCACTCACTGGAGTGAGACAGAGATAGAGGGAAAGTGACAAGGCATCTCCTCTTGTGGGGAACAGTCAGTGGCCATGTCCTCATCCATTTCTCCCTCCTTCCGGATTTTGAGCACACATGAACATGCACCCCACGTGTTTCTCAAGCCACCAAGTCTGGGACTCGAGTCACATGGTCAACCATGTGGGATCCAGCCACCTTAACCAACACTCAACAGGCTGGCTCCAGGGTAAATCTTTCGTGACCATGGTGTATGAGCCCTCTAGTGTTCATTTTGCTAGTATTTTGTAGAGGATCTTTGCATCAGTGTTCAGAAGGGGTAGTCGGTTGTTTTCTTGTACGGTCTTTGCCTGGCTTTCATATGAAGGTAAAATGAATTAGGTAGTGTTCATTTCTCTTCTATTTTTTGGT